GGAAGACCTGAAAGACAAGTTAGGGACAGATTTTCATGGAGACAATCTATGTACTGTAATTGGTAAGAATTGATAAGAAATAGATGGTCCTCGGAGATTAGAATGGTCCCAAGCCTGTTGGCCTTTCCTAAGGCTTTAAAAATCTGGCTGGATACATGGGCCTGGGACTTGGAATGTGTTAAAGGCCTTGTTTTCTTGGCTTTAGTGTTAGCCGGTTAACAATCTTGGCTGCTATATGTTTTTATTTTGGGTTTTTTTGTTTTAATTATTTTATAGCAGGAATCTCCTACTCTCCGGGCTGTGGCCCGTTTGGAACCAGGTCGCACAAGCGGCGGGCACAGGAAACTCCATTTGCATGAGCGGCGGGTATACACACCTGCCGCTTGCATAAATGGAGCTATGCGAGCACACACATCTGCTGCTTGCATAGAACATCTATCCTTCCTCCCTCGCCAGTCCAGTCGGAGACCCCTGTTTTATAGTGTTAGAATTATAACTCCAGAGTCACTTAGCTGAGATTGGCAGCTATAGGAAATGAATAAATAAATAATAATCAATCAATGCAAGAAGAGAAGTCGTAGGGATAGCACCATTTCCAGGTAAAGTTGCAATGAATTCCATTAGACCAAGGGTCCTCAACCCCCAGGTTGCGGCCCACTACCGGGTCGTGGCCTATTTGGAACCAGGCCACATGAGAGGTGGGCCGACGTGCATGCGCACAGCTCAACTCACGAGCACCGGGCTGACACATGCACAAGTTGAGTTGTGCGTATTAGTAGCTGTATTTGAGCTACATCAGCATTATGCTGTGAGTCCTGAGAGCTGTCATCCCATCACTTTGAGAAAAGTTTGGGAACCCTGCTGTGTATTCTTGTACACTCCGCACTTCTTTTTGTAAGTTGCTTTCTTCTGCCAGCATGCAAATTATTCCCTTCATTGCAAGGGACTGTTTAAAGGTTAGTTACAGTATTTGCAATCTTATTTAAGAGTCTGTAAATCACAAAAATAGCCACTAGGTGGCAGCACAGCTCTTTACCTTGCTTTTATAATATGTATATAGTTTTTATTTAACCATCAATAAGAGTTATGGAAGACTAAAATTTTATTGGTTATTTGGTCTCTGTGCCTTCAGTATAGCCATCAAACAGCTTCATCTTATGAGTCTAAAGTGTTTCTCCCATAGAAAATTCATGTAGGATAGGATAAAAGTGGAATCTGGATACTCTGTTAGAAGTTTTAGCTTTAAATGCCTGAATGACGTTTCGATAGGAGAATGGAAGGGGAAGAGAAGTAAGAAAATCCCTCAGGGCTGATTTTGTTCTTTTACATGAGCAGTGGTGGGCACAGGATTGGAAGACAGTCCTCAGACAAGGCCCCCTCAGTTTATCAACTGATTCTGCAGAGAAGTGGAGAATTCTTTCTACCTGACCCTTGCCCTTTGAGGCCCTTATGCCACGAGAATAGGGGCATTGTTCTCACCATTTGCTGGTATGGGATTAGCTGGCCTCTGGAAATTGCCCTGAATCCAGCCTGAAGCTTCTGCGTTTCTGACACTCAAAATGTAGAGCTATTTTAATCTAGGGTGCTTGAGCCATCTTGCTAAGAGGTGCATGAGATTGAGGAGGCTTCCAAAGTTCACAGCACAACCTAGAAGAACAAAGTGTTCATATACCCATAGAAAGCAAACTATAGAAGTTATGTCTCAGTTTTGAAAGGAACAATCAGTTCTATTCCAATTTTTTGAGGGTCTACTTTTCCAGTGCCCTGCACTTTCCCCCCTCACTAATTATTTTATGGCAATATTTTGAGAGTAATTTGGAATGTTTTAAAACCCTTTATAATCGGAAAGTGTTCTTGCAATCTTGATGAAATTAAGATGAGTCTTAAATTTCAGCGGGGATGATGCATTTAACTAAAATTATAGTTTGCTAAAAGTCATAGAGAAAGTTGTAGAGATGGGAAACTGAATTAATTGCAGTTCTGATTTAGGATGGTCCAATTTTCCAATTAATTATATTAATTAAACTGGTTTTGCCATAATTCTGCCATAGCAACCTGCTCTCACATAACTCCATACATACACCTAGCTAATTCTTTTTCCTACCGTGGCTGATCTGTTCAGGTGCTTCTGGGAAATAGTCTAACACAGTGGTTCTCAACCTTTTTAATGCCGCGACCCCCAACCGGTCGTAAGTCGAGGACTACTCAACCGGTCGTAATTCGGGGACTACTCAACTGGTGCAGCACCATTTGCAGAATGGGACTTTTGGTGGGCTCAGCAGGGCAGAGACAGCCTGGACAATTCCTATTGGCTTTTGAAAGCCAATAGAATTAGACTCTATTCAAGAGAGTCTATTCTATTGGCTTTCAAAAGCCAATAGAATAAAAGGGAGTAGCACAGCTAAGGAAAAGGGGAAAAAAATGGTGGACTGTGTTGTTTGGCGACCCCCGTGAAATGGTTGTTCAACCCCAAATGGGGTCCCGACCCACAGGTTGAGAACCACTGGTCTAACATGTACTGATTTTAAGTTGTTAGGATTGCTTTATGTTAGTCCCAAGATCAGAGGATCATCATGATTACCGTCAATAACATTTGTACCACTTTCAGTGAGGAAGGTGAGGGCACCAATCATTAAGATATCGGATATGGATGAAACTTGCAATTTGTTTTGGAGTTTCGAGGTGCAACTCTCTAGCTTTAATGATATCTTGAGCAGATACAAATAATTCCAGCTGCAAACTCAAGCTAACTGCAAATAATAAACTATTGTGACTAGCAGTGTTTCTCAACCTTGGCAACTTTAAGACGTGTGGACTTTAGCTCCCAGAATTCCCCAGCCAGCATGGTTGGCTGGGAAATTCTGGGAACTGAAGTCCACACGTCTTAAAGTCTCCAAGGTTGAGAAACATTGGTGAATAGTATAGTGAATGACTTTCACAGTTCCACTTGCTATTGCTGGCTATTAAATGCTAAGTCTCACCCTCCCTGACTGAAACCTGCTTTTTTCATTTGTCTGCACCACTCAATTGTTTTCTTTCATCTTTTGGGTTAGCAGCTACATTTCTCTTTCAACTTTCCTGTCTTAACGCTTCTACTTTCCCAATGCTATTTTTTAAATAAATGTTCCTGTAGCCCAGGGGTCTTCAAACTTGGCCCTTTTATGATTTGTGGACTTCAACTCCCAGAATTCCTTAGCCAGCATGCCTGGCTGAGGAATTCTGGGACTTGAAGTCCACAAGTCATAAAAGGGCCAAGTTTGAAGACCCCTGCCGTAGCCCTTTTCATTTAGTGTCCTTTACCAGTACTCTCATGAACTTAATGTTATTTTGCAGCTGCCCAGTTTTACAGCACATACATCAAGGGCTCCTTGACTGATAAGTTACTTTAAAAAGTAGACCTGAATGAACTTATTGGACTGGAGTTTTTCTAGTATCTTGAAAAAGGAAGGGTTCCCCCCCCCAATCATCTGTTATTGAATGCTTTTCAGCTAGAGTTGCCATGGATTAAATATAGGAAAGGCAAAGACCGCCTCTATCCTCATGATATAACCTTTGCTGTCATCTGCATTGGCATAACTTGGAATGGCTGTGATGGATGCACAGACATCCTACTATGCCTTAGTTTATTCACTCTTGGTTTCTAGGATTAATCAAAGTTAGGTTCACAGAGCACACCAAATAAAAAACCGTGGTGTACAACCTTCAGTAGACTTACACAATACGCCGAGCCAAGCCAAACCACTTAATGGTTCAATGCAATGCATGAACCAGGCTTGGAATACGGTGTTTGGAAATGTAACTGAATAAACTCCAAGGAGGGCTGGAGACACCCTAGACACTGAAACCTGTTTTCTTTGTAAATGGAGGAGGTTAATCCCAAGCAGCTGTTAAACTAGGAGCACCACAGATGTCCCACTGGAAAAGCTCACCCCAGCTATGTATGCTTGGTTGGGAAATACATTGTGTTCATTAACAACATCAGGACTGATTTTTCTATCATGGAAGGAAGGAGTCTTCCAGACCTTGACCTCTAGCTGTTGCTTACACTATGTGCTCCATTTAAAAACAAAAATCCACAAACTCATAAACACTTGGGACAGTTTTGATATTTTGAAAATATCCCGCTGTTTGGCCACTGGATTCGTTTCCAAAGGAGGGGTTTTGAGATAATCATTGTGAGGGCCAAAGTTCTTGTTTGTTCGTCTTTTGGCAGCAGCAGGTGCTGTGCAGAATGCTTTACAAATTACTGCTATTATTGACCATGGCTTATATCAGATAAAACCCATATTGTTTCCAAAAAGCAAGACTATTTGCCAGATACTTTTTTTATAGGAAGTTAAACTGAAGGACATGGATCTCAATTGCATCACCATTTAATTATACATAATTTCCATGAAATTATTTTGGGAGGGCTTTCTGAAAGCCAAGAAAACTTTGAAGTCTATTTAGTCATTAGTAGATGGCTTCCCATTTAGATTGCTTTGCTGTGAATCATCAGTAAGCTACAGTATTGTTGAGAGCCCATCAATCCTACTTTATTATAGGACCTGGTTGTGCTGTCTGTATGTGGATTGAGTCCTATTTTTACTAATGTCAAAGAGAATTTCAGCTATGCCAAGAGTGGTGTTGACTTTGCTTTTCTCAGTGAGAAGGTAAATTCTCACATCAGAAATCTCCCACCCAAAATTAATCTATACAAACAAATCTTCAAAGACAGCAGAGATTCCTCTGGCTGTAATTTCACCAAAGAAATATCTATTCAAACTTTTCATTTACACTTGATAAGTTGTTTGCCTTGCCTGCCATCTTAGCTTGGAACATATTAGCTTCAATGATATTGCTAGATCATGGACTTTAGATCATCTGTTAATGGTCTTATAACCTGCCCTACTTTCATCTTCTTCATCATCATCATCATCATCATCACCATCATCTTAGCCATTGTCTATCCAATGCAGGATGAAGGCCTCTTCTGCATATTTCCAACCTATATGATCCTTTCTTTTGCCAATTGGGACTGCAATACTTGCTGATGTCATCTATCTATCTTGATTTAGGTCGCTTGTGGACGCTTTTTATCAAGTGGGATCCATTCTATGACTGCCTTGGTCCACCTGCCACCAGTTCTTCTTGCTCTGTGACCATCCCATTTCCATTTCAATTCTTTTACTCTCTTGAAGATATTGTATACTTTTGTTTGTTCATGTGCAGGTCTTTCTATCTTGTCCTATACCTTACTTCAAATGTCCATATCTGATTTCAGTGAAAGATGCAATGAACGACTCTCCTTCCAAACAATTTATTGTTCCATGATTTACAATTCTGCTACACATTTGACTCCTCAGAGCTAAAATAAGCAAGATAAAACTAACAATTGTTAGTGAAAATAATAACCTGACTAAGCACCTTCATGAACAAAAATGAAATGTGCACGCTGAGTTGAGATAAGCGTCCCTTTTTCCTTAAAAAAAAGCATAGGATATTTTTACTTAAAAGTAATACAACAAGTCATCTGTATCCGTGTTCAGATCCTTTTCCTGAGGACAAAGTGTTTTTAAAACTAAGGTGGAAGAGTGCTGGGCTATACGATATCCTTTCTGAAAGGATAACAAGGCTACGTGGCACAGTGCTATGGACACTGGGCCTTCATCCCCTTCCACTTTCTGGAGGTCTATCCAACCTGAACTGCTCTACTGCCTCATGTATTATGGTGTCTCTTTCATGGAAACCCAGAAGCTTGTGCCAAAGCTTGGTTGACGAGGGATCAGAATAAATTGATTAATTGCATTCTGGTGGCGAGAATGGAAATGTAGAATGTGAAGGAAAGAGGAAAGTCATCTGCTTTTCCAGTGATGTTTTCTATGAGTTACAATTTCAAGCAGACAGGCTCGTCATTTCTCACTCTGCATCTGTATCTTTAATCTTACCTTTGTTGTGGTTGTTCCTAATGGAGAGTTGATTCCCTAGGTCCCTTAAGAGGGTTGTATAACTTGGGGAATTCTCCAGGTGCATCTAGGCTTAGTGGAATAGGGCTTGGCTGTCTGAAGCTCTTTTCTCATGAAAGAGAGGAGAGCCTGCCAAAAATACCATTATTACGGATTTCAGAACATCTCATTTTTCCCTTGTCCTTTTAGAATATATATTTTTTTAAATTTAAAAAAAGAAAACAAAACAAAATTGCCAGTGAATGAAGAACATGTAATGTGTTTATGACTGTAGCACAAAAGAGTCCAAACAGATGGAAAGCTGATTCCTGGCTGTCGCAGGTGATGTGGCTGAGAAGAAACTTGTTGAAATACGGTTAGAGACCAAATTGCTATGAATTGTTCCAATTTCACTTGTTCTGGCTCCTGAGCCCGTCTGTCTCTGCCTGTGGAATCTTCTGCTCCGACTTTGTAGATGTTGGCTCAATTTTGTCTTACTTAATTTCTCAGCAGCAGCACTTCTTGGCAAAAATGTCCTTTCATATCAACCGTGGCTCCTATTTTTATACTGTATATCTGGACAGCCATTTTCGGAACCCCCAAATATTGTAGGGTGCCGTGTTATTCTACAGCATTTGGGCGAGAAAAAAGTGGTAACTGCTGCCATATAAACATGATTCTCACTATTTTATCTAGGTCATTTGAAATGTGAAAAGAAATGGGGTCTAAATTGCCAAAAATAATGTTTTGTTGCCGCAAGGCTATAGAAATTAAGGTGCCAGCAAAATGAAATTAAAGATAAAATGGAAAGAAACTGCCTGTCTTGTGAAGGTAAGGGATGGATTTGTGTGGTTCTTTTGTCCCCCAGATGTTATTTAAATTAGAAGTGTCTGAATGGAACCATAAGATTCAGAGTGGCGTTTAGATTAATCATAAATAGAATTCTATTTTCAAGGACATGTTAATGGTGGCTTGTATCATGTAGGGGAGAGCAATAAAAAGCATCCTTAAGTTGGGAGGAGCATTAGAAGAAATCTCAATAGCTTATGCAATTTATATTTTTCTTCCAGGAACTCAAGACATACAGAATGCTCTGTATTCTCTTTTTCCCAACAATAATTTTGTAATTTTGTTGGATTGAGCGCATGTGGCTGGGCCAAAATCACACAATGGCTGAGGAAAGTCTTAAACCTGAGTCTCACTGGTCCTAATCTAATATCTTAAGTTTTGTTTCAGGAACCTTGCTTTCTGGTAAAGAGTAGAGTGGAGTGGAGTAGGGTAGAGTAGGGTACTGTGGGGTGTGGTGGGGTAGAGATAGAATAGAAATAAGAATGGGATGGGATGGGATGGGATGGGATGGGATAGAATAGAATAGAATAGAATAGAATTATGGCCAAGGGTAATTGAACACACAAGGAATTTGTCTCTAGTGCATAAACTCTCAGTGTACATACAAACAACAAAGTAGTAGAGTCATAATCATAAGATACCAATAGGAGAAGATGGCAGAAAAGATAAGGAAAATAGTAATACAGTCCTACTACATGGCTAAATGTCTGCACACATAAGACAGTACTTAGTAATTAGGTGTTCAGCAGAGTGATGGCACGAGGGAAAATACTGTCTTTGTGTCTATGATACTCTCCATAACAGCTATTTTCAGACATTTTATAAGATTGACCACAGCATGCTCTCAGCATTTCAAAGAGCTGTTCCAAAAAGGTTCTGTAGCAGCAGTCTTGAAGATTAAGAAATGGAGAAAGCCCAAGAGATAAACTGAGATAAGTGTGTGTGTTGACTAATATCACCATGACTTAAACGTTTGTCTTGGATTTTCTGGACAAACTGTACAATTGCATGTTTCTAAGTTAGTAATGCTCTGATGAAGAAGGAGTGCAGAGCTAGGTCTAAGGATGCAGCCTCTGTTTCTCTGACAGGTACCATACCACCATAGCTAGAGTTGTGGGATTCCACAACTGAATGCTCGTACATCAGAAATGCCTCCGTAAGGAAAGGTTTTCTATCTTGAAGTTGTAGGGATTCTTTCAGGCAAACCAAGTGCAATTCAATATATTGTTGAGCACTCTTAAGCTCTTGGACCACACATTCCATTGTGTTCAGTATTATTTACTGGCAGGTAAACCTAGACATCAGCCTTCCCCAGCCTGGTGCTTTCCAGAAAATAGGTTCTGTAGTTTCCAGAATTCTCAGCCAGGTTTGGAAAAACTAATGCATAACTCTGGAGCCCGGCTGCATGCAAGATCCTCCTGCCAAGACATTCCAGTTGGCAGGAAAGCTGATGAAATCCTTGAGCCAGAAGAAGGACTGACGAGAAGAATCTATTCTGGTGCAGTTTCCTTTTTTGGTTTGGGACGCTGAGCTATAATGCTTTTACGGTAGCTGCTCAAATCCTGATTGATAATTCTACATACTGCCAATAAAGGAGAATATTTGTAGCTCAGGGTTAAAATGAGGGGACTCCTCAAGAACTCCTCAATTGTACGTACTGCATTTTCCCAGAAAGAGTATAACTCTGAATTTAAGACAATTCTCCAAAAAGACAGAAAAAGAAGGTCCAGGAGTATTTGCCTAGTTAACTAGGAGTTTCTGGCTCCAGCTGATTCTCTTTCTTTCTTTCTTTCTTTCTTTCTTTCTTTCTTTCTTTCTTTCTTTCTTTCTTTCTTTCTTTCTTTCTTTCTCTCTCTCTCTCTCTCTATCTCTATCTCTATCTCTATCTCTTCATCCATCCAGGAAATTCTGGGAGTTGAAGTCCACAAACCTTAAAGTTGCCAGGATTAAAAAAAAATTGCAATAACCAAATGCACAACCATCTGTATCTTTCACTGATTGATTTGGTTTCAAAGCTGCTTTTATTCTTAGCAGTGAAAGTCATATAAGCCCCATTTGCAAATAATTATTTGGGGGTAAAAGTTGTGCCCTCATTGAATTATGCGGGACATTCTTGATGGTTCACATTACGGGTAGTCGTCAACTTACAACTAGACTTACAACTTGAAATTACAGTGGAACACCCCCCCCCAAGCTACTTATGACCTGGTTCTGGACTTCTGAGGTGTCCCCAACAGTCACATGACTACATTTCAGGTGCTTGGCAATTGGCTCACCCTTATGGCTTATTTTAGCATTCCATAGACATGAGATTGTGATTTGTGAAGTTTTTTGCTGGTTTCCAGTCTTTTGGGCTGGTTTCTGGCAAAAAATGTCTATAGGAATATATAGATTCATTTAGCCAGAGCAGTTGCTTAATGGCCAATGCGAAACTTGCCAACTGCCATGAGAATGACCACCAAAAAAAAGTAATAGAATTGGGTTTGGTCATTTAGGTACCTCAGTTTAGGACCATCATGACTTATGGTGGGAATTCCTGAGTCCGTTATGGTTGAGAACTCCCTGTGAACAAGAGGGAACCACTTGTCTCAAAATGCAAAGTGCAGGTTAGATTATTCCAGGTCAGAATATATTCTATTTTAAATTTAGAAATGACATATGTCTTTCTCCCTGAGCCCTCTGCGTATTAGGACAGTGACCCTTGAGGAATATGGCTACCACAAAATTTTTAAATTGGATTTAATCCTTCAATTTTTCATTTAAAACAACATACTATTTCACGGGGCACGATTTTGTTTTATACACTTTTGTGCACCCCCTTTCAGATATGCTGTTTTCTATTTTTTTCTAATATTCCACCTTGTGTGTGTGTGTGTGTGTGTGTGTGTGTGTGTGTGTGTTTTCTGAGGTTTTCACGGGTGTTTTTATATAGGTCTTTGGTTATTCGGGTTTTCTCCCACCCGAATAACCAAAGACATATATCTTCTTCTTCTTGTGCCATATCTGTTATCGGATGTTGGCGATCATGTTGGCGATCCTGTTTTTATCAGCAGTTGCACGAAAAAGTGCTCTGAGTTTTGTCCAAACCAGTCCCTTAGATTTTGAAGCCACAATGTTCTTCTTCTGCCTGGACCTCATTTGCCTTCAATCTTTCCCTGGAGGATTAAATGGAGTATGCCGTATTTTTTTGGGTGTCGCATCACATGTCCGAAATATTCTAATTTTCGTTTTTTTAATTGTTTTGATGATTTCCCTTTGCTTCTAGTTTATCATTCTTAATAATTCAGTCAATGAATTCCATTGTGTTCCTTGGCTGAACTAACTTAATAGATTTTTTTTTTGTCAGTAAACATTCCTCTAAGTTCAATTGTTTGGATCCTGTTACTGAAAGTGATAGTTTATTATGTACACAATTAGTTCCTTATGATGTGGTTAATAATGCCTAACAAAAACACTTAACTTCTAGAATTTAATTTGAAAGATTGTACTATTTGGCATAATTATGTCTTCATTTTTCCTTCTATATGAGTTCTTTATGCATGTGTTCAAAACTCTTGCATATTATGCAGCATTTTCAACAAGTGCACAAATCTTAAAGTTGCCAAGTTTGGAAACCCCTGCCTTACAGGGGTGTGAAATTACTCTAACATTGCTAGTCAATATTACTAATTTAATGCATGATTGTCATGTGCTCTGGATCTAAGGCTATTACCTGAATTGCCTTCCCTTTTCCTAAGACAAACCTTCTTATACACAGATAGAAGCCTTGGACGTTTGGAGATGCCCTGCTATAAGGCAATGGCTGGATGGAAGAAAAGGAAAGGGAGCAAACACGAAGCTCTGATGACTCCAGAAAGCCATTTTACTTGTTGTTTTTATTCCTAACTAATCCATGCACATATTGAATTCAGTCTTGTCAACTCAACTTCGTCTAAAGGCACATAATATGCATACTTTTCTCTTGCACACCAACCTCTGGGAAAACATTTGGATGAAGTTATTAATCCCTCTGGTGCCCAAGATGTCTAGGAGACATCTTCAAAACAGCATGTAAATAGCCCTTGGAATGGCTAGAACGAGATGATTTTGGTCCAAATAACAATGGAAGCCGTCATGCACCTAAGTAAACAGGCAGCTATGCCAATGAACATACTCATTTTATGGGGCGGGGGGGGGGAAGAGGGAGGATGAGTGTCAGACTGGAGATTTGCTCCATCAAGGCTTGGGGGATACATTCTTTTTTGGCTCATGAACCAAAGACTTTACTTTGCTGGATTCACACATCAAACCTGGCTCCTCTGCGTACCCATAAAAACAACTGAATGGCTGTGATGACACTGATCAAATTGTTTCAGCCCATAGGGAGGACAAGGGCAACAGCAGAGGGAAAAAGAACTGACAGCCTCTATTGATAATTTTCAGTTCATCCAGAAGGCATTATGCTTTTCCATCACTCCAAAATACAGCAGACACAGCTGCAACTACAAGAGTGAACAAGGTTTGTTGGGAACTTACCTTGGGAAAAAAAAAATTCTCAGAGATTCAGGCTGAAACATGAGTTAGATTGGTGCCAGTTGACAAGGGCTGCTTTCCATACCTTCACTGAATAAGTTACAGCTGGCTGTTTTCTCTGAAGATACTAGGCCTTAAATCACGGTTTACAGGCCACAGTGTCTGATTTCCTACAATGCATTCAGCTGAAATCAAATCGGTGTACCTTACGGCTTAGCCTAATACATGAATCAGTCTTGTACCGGACTGTAATAAAATATAAAAGATGGAATGAAAATGCATCCTAAATAGTGTGACTTTTTTTTAAAATTTAATTCATACAACAGCCTAAGATAAAATCAAATCAAAACACATTATGGCTTAGTGCAATGACAAAACCCATTCAATACATATACATTATCACTGACAGTCCAGATTTTATCACCATTAGTATGGTCAGTGATGAGAGTTTCCGGGAGTTATAATTCACAATATCTGGAGACCTTACTCTCTGCTGTGAACTTCAAAATGCTATGTGTTGTAGTGTATTTATAGCCACCATCTTACTGATGGGCATATCCTCCCCTTTCCCGTCATATCTGAAACATTTCCCAACTTCCATGTCAGGGAGCTGCACTTTGCAGATGTGCTGAACCAACCCCAGGGCTCTTTGTTCATCTGAAGAATCAATCTGCAAAATGGGAAGCCCCTCAGATCATGAATGGAGATATCATTGGTTTCAAAATTTCATCACACCCATCCAAAGGGGGAATCCAATAGCATCTTTAAATTCTCAGCTTTTTATCCCAATGTGCATAGTATGGCTTCTGCTGTCATGAACCGTTCGGTTTACCCTCATTGTATATATAAACCCATTGCATACCATTAAGTGTTTCAATTTTGCTACTTTTACTATACTTGCTCCCATAGCTATTAGAACTGGATCGCAAAAATCCAGATAGCTACTAGAGGGCAGCAAAGAGATACAAAAATATCTTTGCTGTCCTCTAGCAACCATCTGAATTTTTGCAGTCCAAACCCTTTTACCATGCTAGATTCTATTTCAATTTCTGAAATCGAAGATACCTACATGTACAGTTTAAAGTTATACATTTCTATGCAGAAGCAATGGAACTTCCAATGAGGTGGCTAGTAATACTGCCAATAAAAAAGTGCTAGAGGTAGTCCTCATTTCATGACCAAAACCGAGCCCAAAATTTCTGTTGCTAAGCAAGGCAGTCGTTAAGTGAGTTTTGCCTCATTTTATGACCTTTCTTGCCCCATTGTTAAGTGAATCACTGCAGTTCTTAAGTTAATAACACAGTTGTTAAATGAATCTGGCTTCCCCATTGCTTGTCAGAAGGTGGCCAAAGGTGATCACATGAGCCAAGGACACTGCAACAGTTATAAATAGGAATCAGTTGTTGCAACTGTCGTAAGTATGAAAAACTGTCATAAGCCACCTTTTTCAGTGCCTTTGTTCCTTTGAATAGTCACTAAATGAACTGTTGTAAGTCAAGGACTACCTGTATACCACTGCTATTCTGCATTTTCTTCATGAACAGATTTTGATGGCAGGAGAAAGCCCGAAAGAATTTGCACAATGAATGGTGCAAATGGAAAATGGCAAAGAGACCTGCACTCTCTGGAAAATGTTATGCCAGATGCAGGCAAACTATACTCTAAATGCCTTACCGAGTAGCATGTGAGAACTCACTGAAATCAAAGGCGCTCTTTTCTAAGTTAGTAGAAAAGGTCATGTCTCTGATAAGGTTGGCCATAGTCTCTGCTTAGGTCAGGAGTGTTAATCTAGCTCAAAAAGCTAAGCACGGCCAGAACTGGTTAGGATTTGAATAGGAGTCGGTTACTCCTTGAGTGCTAGAGTCAGCTAGTTCAGGGGTAGGCCACTTTGGCTCTTTTATGACTCATGGACTTCAACTCCCAGAATTGCTGGCTCAGGAATTCTGAGAGTTGAAGTTTACAAGTCATAAAAGAGCCAAGGTTGCCTACCCCTGAGCTATTTAAAGACAGTGCAGAAGAAGACAACAACAAATCAGTTCTAGATTGCTATCAAGAAACAATACCATATGGACATGTCCATCTAGTTGCCGATAGTCAAGCTCAACTGCACCCAACAGTATTTATTAGGGAGCTACAATATCCGAGTCCAGTAAAAAGACAGACCTCTGGCAGAACAAGGTTCAGGGAGTTCACATCCCTTGGAGGCCATTTTTAAAATAAGCCATTATGTTAAAAGGCTCTCCCTTTCCGGCATACGTGCAAGGAAGCACGATCTATGACTGCAGCTGTAATTTGCCTAACAGTCTCTCCCACTCACCCCATAATCACTCCCTGCATGCGACTAGTTTGGTGTATGAAACACCTGCATATTAAACCCTTCCTTGTCCCCTATTTTGCAGATCTTTATTTCCTGAATTATAGTCCCCCCCCTCGTTGGCTGTTCTGGACTCAGCTGCTACAGAGTCTAAATTTTGATATCCTCGTAAGCCTTTTAAGTCTGAATGCAGCTTTGCCGAGCCTCCATGGAAAACATGGATGCTTCCTTTGTAAGCTGATCATTTCACTGCAGAAATCAAATATTGGTTTGCCATGATTCACATGCCCTTTATTTTAGTGATATTTTTTCAACATGAGCTCTGTAGCCTGTAAAACTGCCTTTTTCTCCATTGGGGATGCATCTAGCTCAACTTCAAGTTGGGCCTGCTAGTTGACCTTGAGGGGAAAGTTCTAACAAACTTCACCGGTTGATTTTCTGCCTATCTAACCTCCCATCATAGTGGAGGATCAGAGTGAATACAATTCCCTTGGCTTTTCAAGCTGCCTTCATCCTGGGTATTATTGACAGGGCATTGCTGTTAGGCTTCCCTATGTGAATTCTGGTAACACTTTATCAACAATGCACAAACGTGTGGCATCTTCTAGCTGAATCACATTAGTGATCAGGAGAACATGTCTTTGGTTTTGAGAAAGTCCTGCTGCCAGAGTGAAGGTCAGAGATCAGCATTTTATTAATAGGCTTATGTTTCAAACAGCCAACACTTCTTTCCAAATCTTTAACTAGGTTATTAATGATGTGCTTGAGAAAAATCCCAGGACAGCCAGTAGTAATAGTTCTTTTTCTTTTCTCTTGTTTTAACTGAAAAATCAAAACGAGACTGCAAAATGCTCTTGTTGAAAGAAAAATCTTCATCAGGCTCCAGTCCAAGCTGGGAATAATCAAAATGGAGACTGCTTTAGAGAGAAGGTTGTAGTTTATTGAAGAGGAGAGCTAAACAGAAAGGTGGCTCTGGGAAAAATGACCATATGTAGCAGGGAGTGGTGGGTTTTTATACCTTCTGGGGCTCTTGAGGTTGTTTCTTGTTCCTGTTTGAGGCTTTGTATTTCCTGTGTCATGTACTTTGACCCGAGTCTGAGTGTGCCCCTTTAGCATTGGTGGGTTAATCCTATTATATACTGTCCTAGTTAGGGTGGGGTATGTAGATTTTAAGGGTCTTTGTCTTCCTAGTTTCTTCAGTTTCTAGCTGGAAGGCTCAAACCTTTTTGAAAGGATTATTGAATTTGCATTTCTAAAAGCTGGCCTCTACCTAGAGGCTAGGGCTGATTTCTGGGGCCTGGTTTCTGTCTTTAAGATCCTTTGGGGAAATATATTCTGCCTTTTTAATATTTCCCAAAATGTTTCTTTCTCTGGATTCTTCCCACACTCTCTTTGGAACTATTTATTGTTAGGTTTTCCTGCAGGGGATCATCTTCCTATTAAAGTAGGGAGGTTCTTCCAAGCTTTCCCAAATGCCCCTTCCTGCTTCTAGGATTAAAACTAGAGGGCATGCAAGTGGTGAAAGAAGGCAACTTTTGTCTCCCCAAAAAACCAGGAAGAGACACTGCCCACTTCCTCTCTTTGAGTGGAGAAACACAGCCTAGTGCGTTGGATTAATTCAGGACAGGAGAAGTTTGGAGGGCAGGGTTCCTCTCTTGAAGCCCCACCACTCCAGCTTTTGTGGTCCATTATGTGTGCATATATGTGAAAGATGACAATCTAGTCCTTGAACCAGATTTGGTTGTAACCGCTGTAGTTTTCTGGGAGTGAATGTAAGAATTTCTCCCATAGCTGATCTGGGATATAAATTTTAGCCACGAGTAAATTGTGATTAATTTTTTAATCTTCAGAGGGATATTAGAGCAGGAAGCTGCAGACTTTATGAAGTCCATGGAATTGGGCCTATGCCCTTTCCTTTCCTGGCTTCCTAACTCCCAGCCATGCTCATAATATTTATTAATAAGATTTATATTCTACTCATCTCATGAGAAGCGACTCTGGACTGCCTATAATAATCAAGTAAAAAACACATAAATAAAAACAAGCATTTAAAAATATAAAATGGCAATATTAAATAATTAAAGGTACAATATATAAAATTTCCTTCTTCACTCTATGGGTGGTGTGTGTCTTCCTCACAATTTTGGATCTTCAGCCAGAGGCCTGGGCGTTTGAGGGTTCTGCACAGTATCTTACCTGTTCTTAATACTGCATTCTTCCTGGGATCCGTTGGAGTGACTCATCCTGCTTAGAAATCATAGCCCCCCGATGCTCCTACCATTACTGGGACCACTTCGGCTTTTATTTTCCACAACCTCTCTAGTTCCGCCTCAGGCCCTGGTACTTCTCTAGCTTCTCATCCTTCTTCTTCCTGATGTTGCTATCACTTGGCATCAATACATCTATCACCACCACTGTCCTCTGCTCCTTGTCTATTACCACAATGTGGCTAGTTATCAAAATACCCTCTTATTTCCCCTGCCCCCCAAATAAGAGGGGGTCTGTGTGTATGTATATGTGTGTGTATATGATATAGGTAGTCCTTGACGTACGACTACAATTGTTTCTGTTGCTAAGCGAGACATTTGTTAAGTGAGCTTTGCCCCATTTTATAACCTTTCTTGCCACAGATGTTAAGTGAATCACTGCAGTTGTGAAGTTAGTAGCATGGTTGTTAAGTGAATCGGGCTTCCCCATTGACTTTGCTTGCCAGAAGGTCGCAAAAGTTGATCACATGACCCCGGGACACTGCAACCATCATAAATATGAGTCAGTTGCCAAGTGTCTGAATTTTGATCAGATGACCCTGGGGATGCTGCAATGGTTATAAGTGTGAAAAATCGTCATAAGTCATTTTTTTCAGTGCCATTGTAACTTTGAACAGTCACTAAATGAATTATGTAACTTGAGGACTACCTGTATGGAGATATCTGCTCTCTCACATCTTAAAATAGCTATTTGAT